AGGGCTGGGCCTGGGGCTGGGGCTCCACAGGCAGCTCTGTCAGATGACTTTTCAGATGTAAATCAAGCATGCCCATTATGCCATCTCCTAGAGAGACCATTACAGAAAGAAAAGGAGGCCTCTCCCAGGTGTCCTTCCTAACAGGAAGGTATCTGTTGCTGGTTTCCCATGCAGCCCCCCCAAAAAAGAGAGCCCAAGCATTTACAGGCATAGATGGGGTTCTTTCTTTTTTCACACATACATGTCATAGAAATATGTCATTCTGTTTCCCTTGCTTCTGTCTTTAAACATTTTTTGTCTTTATTATATTCATTTGAAAGGGAAAGAAAGGAGTAGGGGAGAGGGCAAAAGAGACGGGGGGGGGGGGGGGGCGGCACTGTGGCAGTGAGTTAAAGCCCTGGCCTGCAGTGCATCTCATAAGGGCATCGGTTTGAGTCCCAGCTCTCCACTTCCGATCCAGCTCCCTGCTAATGCACCTGGGAAAGCAGTGGAAGATGGCTCAAGTGCTTGGGCCCCTGCACCCACGTTGGGGATCCAGAGGAGTCTCCTGGCTTCCGATCAGCTCAGCTCTGGCCATTGCGGCTATTTGGGGAGTGAATCAGCAGATAGAAGATCTCTTTCTCTGTCTCTACCTCTCTGTAACTCTTTCAAATAAATAAAATAAATCTTAAAAGAGAGAGACAGACAGAGACAGAGATCTCACAACCACTGGTTCACTCCCCAAATACTTGCAACAGTCAGATATGGGCCAGACCAAAGCTGGAGGTAGGAATTCAATCCACATTTTTCATGTGGGTGGCAGGGACCCTAGTACTTGAGCCATCACCTGCTGCCTCCCAGGGTGCACATTAGCAGGGAGCTAGAATCAGGAACGGAGCCAGGACTCAAACCCAGGTACGCCAGCATGGGACACAGGTGTCCCCAGCCGTATCTTAACCACTGCGCCAAATGCTCCTCTTAGACTTACTGTTTCCTAGATATCATTCCGTACCTGCATGCAGGGAGCTGCCTCACTCTTCCTCATGGCTACCTGGCAGTCCATTGTGTGGAAGTGCCAGAATTATTCCATCAGTCTCCACCTGTGGGACAATTCAGTTGTCTCCAATCTTCATTATTACAAGCCATGAATCCTGATACAGATCAAGGTGTGCATGAATGAAAACATCTGTAAGATGCATTCCTAGAAGTGAGATTGCTTGTGCTTATTAAATGGAGTATGTGCTTTTAAAATGTTAACAGATTACACCAAACTCTATAGCTGGGTAGCAACGTGCAACCCATCAACAATGACAGGCAGCTGTCAGAGCACTTCTCATGTGAAGACGAGACCTTCAGCTGGAAGAGACCAGCTGAGGACCAAAACAGGCCCACACACTCACCCTACAACAGGGAGGAAGACGAGCCAGCACCACCAACATGCTGTTCCCTGCAGCAAAGCACTCATTTCACGGATGAGAAAAGTGAGGCTCACGGAGCTGACAAACCTTACTCAAGGTCATGGCCTGTACCCCTATTGGCAAATTCTTCCCAAACAAAATATGCTCTAGGGGCCAGCCCTGTGGCACAGGTTAATCCTCCACCTGTGGTGCCAGCATCCCATATGGGCACCAGTTCGAGTCTTGGCTGCTGTGCTTGCAATCCAGCTCTCTGTTATGGCCTGGGAAAGCAGCATAAGATGGTCCAAGTCCTTGGACCCCTGCACCCACATAGGAGACCGGGAAGAAGCACCTGGCTCCTGGCTTTGGATCAGCTCAGCTCTGGCTGTTGCAGCCATTTAGGGAGTGAATCAATGGATGGAAGACCTTTCTCTCTGTGTCTCTCTCTCTTTGTAACTCTACCTCAGAAGTAAAATTTTATATATATATATATCATACACACACACACACACACACACACACACATATACATTCTAGCCTTTGACCTCAAGCTCTGGTCTCCAGTGATGACCTGGCTGTAACTTGGAGAACTGATGCTCTTACTGTGAGCTGAAAATAACTAGGCCACCCACACGTTCATAGGGTCCCCCGTCATTCATTCCTACCCACAGAAAAGCAGGCCCCATCCCACGCATTTACACTCACCCGCTGCTGTTCCCAGCCCACTTGTAGCCCACACAGCCCTGACCATCCACGTCTCCAAAGTGGATGGACCCTGGACAGTCATCTACCAGCTGAAGGCACTGAAATGCTCAACAGACCTCTCCATGGTTACCACCGGGTGGAGAGCAGGGAGAGTGGGACAGAAGTCAGAGTTGCCCACGAACCACAGGGGTTAACATCAGCCACTCGGAAAACAGAAGTAACCATGGCGGAAACAGTTCTCTTTCCTCGTACTTTGGAAATGTCTATATCCACTACCTCATCATGCACCCACAGCAGCTCTGAGTTAGATGAGGCAGGGATTCTTCATGCATTGTCCCCTTTACAGATAAGGAAAAGGAGGAAAGACTCGCCCACCACCCGAGAGAAGCAGAAACCAGAGAAGACGCAGATTTTCTGGTGCTGAATCCTAGCCACATTTGGTCCTGCCACTTACTAAGCAATCTCTCATAGCATGAGATGCTCATAAAGCTATCTCTTACCTGCTCACATCCAGAAAGACAAGGCACTATGGACAATGCTCTATGGACCTTCCAAGTGCATGGACTTCATATATGTGGGTATTCTTTCCCTGTATCATCCCTCATCTTTGCTTCCATCCCATAGATAAGTCCTTTGTGAAGAGGCTTTGGAGAAGTTTCTGACTAGTGGCCCTGCCCTATACCTGAGTGCCTACCACGGCTTCTGGAACATAATGGATACCCAGGAAAGATATGCTTTTGAGTTGGCTGAGAGAACAGAGGAATAGATGGATGAGCAGATGACTGGAGTGGGTATGTGGATGGGTGGATGGATGGGTGGGGTGGGAATAGAGTATTGGTTTGTTGATTGGCTGAGTGGTTTTGGTTTTAGTTTCCTACATGGCATCCATGATCCATTCCAAATTCCACCTTCACATCCTTTGGTGGAATTATTTCTCCCACTTAAGGCATACAGTCTCAGAGGCACAGCAAATCAGGTGCTCTATCTTCTCCCAGCCAAAAAGCAAGCAAATGACACAGCTCAGAGGGTCATACTCCCTCTCCAAGGACTGTGAGTCTCTATAGTGTGAGAGGAAGGTAGGAGAATCTGTGAGCACATTTATTTCAGCAGTGGGACACTGATGACACTGTTAAGTAGTTCCTGATGCTCAAACACCCAGAGTTTTTCTGGCTTCTTGCCTGCCCTTTTTCCAAACCAAGTCCTCCAATTGCTCATCCATCCTATGCAGTACCAAGTATGTGGGATTTAGGCAAGGCGGGGGGGGGGGGGGGGGGCGTGTAGGATGGGGCAGAGAAGCCAGCACAGTTTACTTCTCAGAGCTTGTTTTTCAGAGGATGTCCCAGGAAGGGGCCAAATTCAGAGGGGGCCACCACCGGTCAGGGAGCCAGTCTGAGTCAGAGTTAACACACAACGTATGAAGATGTGCGCTGTTTGAACAGGAAGGACCTTCCTGCTCCCCTTCTCCGATGTCTGGGACCCTCCCCAACTCTGGCTGCAAAAGCCTTGGCAAACTCTTGGGGAGGCAGTTTGTGAAGGGAACTCGACCTTCCCACTGCCTCCTTCACCTGTCACAATAAAGCTTTCCTTGAGCAACTCCTGCACGACACCGATTGTCTGGCAACACCCCAAGTGGATGGACCCCCTTGTGTCTACTAAAACTACCCAACATCACCCCCAAGACATCACTTCTTTAAGCCAGTGGACATTCTTTTTCCTGCTTGTAAACAAAGAATCTTACCGACACAAGGTACAGGGACAAAAGAGTGGACAAATGCATGGGCAGGTGGGGAACTGGCAGGAGTGAGCAGTAGGTAGCGGGGGGGGGGGGGGGGGGGAGGAGGGAGTGTGGTACTGCTCACAGAAGGAGGTCATAAGCTAAGTGGTAAGCTAAGTCCCAGGTCTTGGAAGGATGAGGGGAAGAGACAAGAACAGTCCTCAGCCTGCCCTACGGGAGAGTAACATGAACAGACTCCAATCCTCCCTCTACTACACTAGACATCCTTGACTGTACACCATGTAACCGAGAAGGACCTCAGAAGTCATATTACCAGATTCCCACTTCCCCGCTGAGGACACCAAGGGCCTCCAAGAGCAAGAGGTTTGCCAAAATCTCACAACCAGGCTTGGAGCTGCCCAGGGCCTAGAACTTGGTCTTTCAATTCCCAGTTCCTTGCTCTTTTCACTGCCCAAAGTTGACTCTGGAAGGAGTGGCTGAGTAAGATGCAGGACTTCCAAATCCCAACATGAGACAATTCCCCAATGGGACCTCCTCACCGCAGCTCGATGTCCTCGGAAATGCAAATACCTAGGAAGGTTCTAGGGTCCCTACCCAGGCTTAAGGGGGCAGGAGGAGCAAGAGATCAGGGAAGGAGAGCAATGGGCAAGAAGCCAGGGGGCTTTCCAGGACCAGCTTGAAAATCCACCCAGAAGCCACACCACGGAGGCCTGTACCACTCTTCAGACTTCTGTCACCTCCCGGAAGTCTATTGTGAAACTCATCGAGAAACGGTCTGTGTGCTGGCCTGCAGGGACAGCCAGGAAGGGAGAGGGGGCACTGGGTCTTACCCCAGGTCCAGGCTCTGAGACACAGACAGTGAAGGACAGAGGCTGTGGCTGCATGCCTGGGGTCTGCTGCACGGGGCGGGAAGGGGGAGCTGGGGGCGGGTCTGAGTCATCCCTGAACTTCTGTGCTTCTCCCCAGACAGCGAAGGAATGCCTAATACGGACAGTGCGGTTCTGACAGCAAGTGGGAAAACACCTTCAACTCGCCCCCAGCCGCCCCAAGCCGCCCCCAGCCGCCCCCAGGCCTCCTCACTCAGCTGAGCCCAGTGTCTCTATTAAGAAACAATTCCAGGGCCTGGAATGTTGAAGAAAAGAAGGGAAGGAACGGGGCGGGGGGTGGGGTGGGGGGGGCTGGCACTTTGCTGAGTGCCTCACTGCCTCTTCTGCACTGTCCCAGGAGTGAGGTATTCTTAGCCCTCATTTCCAGAGAAGATGCCTCAGTATCGAGTAATCAATGAGCTGTCCAGAGACACACAGAGGGTGAGTGCTGTCGGATATCAATCTCAAGTTCATCCTGCTTCACCGGGCTTTCTCCTGGGGGCTGGGGACAGTGGGAGAAGGTAGGGGCCGGTGCTCTGGCACCAAGAGCTGCTGAAGACTTGCGTGAGGGGGTACACAGGGAGGAGGGGAACAGAGGACCGTGGGGAGGAGGCCTGAAGCCATCTGTCCCCCAGCTATTTCAGAAGAGCCAGTGCCTCCCCCAGGCCACCCCTCCTCCAAGGCACCTCATGGTGTGCGCCATCAGCTGCCAGCCACATGTGGTCTCCAGCTGCAAAAACAAGGCAGGCGTGCACATCTCCTGTCCCGTGTGGTGAAGGTGAGAACAGGGGTGACGCCACGCCACAGCCGCCTGCCTGCGTGCGGTTGGAGCTCTGACAGCTGCTGTCAGTTGTCATCCCTGGCAGAGTGAAACACACATTAGGGCTGGGGGAGGGGAAGTGAGGGAGAAAAGGCGGCCAGGGGGCAAAACAGAAAAACCCAAGGAGATCAAATGGGAGCTGAACCAAAGACAAGGTCAGGATGCACACGAAGGGGTCCTGCACAGGGTGCGAATCCTGCCTCTGCCTGAGCAAGGCCCCTGTGCCTGCTGGGAGCCCAAAGCTTGCACCTCTGTGCTACAGCCTCCCACAGAGCCTCCAGGCAGCACCAGTGAAGCACCTATTGCAAGCAGGGCCCTGGAAGCACAAACAGGAGTGAAAGAGCAGCTCACTGCCTGGGCCACCAAGGGCAGAGGAGGAGGAAAGACAATGAGGGAGTAACTCCCTAGCTTGCTGATGGGGCAAAATGAGGCCACGAGGAGGAAGTGACTTTGCCTCGGGCTTTTCTGGGGGCCAGAATCCCAGAGGGGAGATGGACTTTCCCAGCTGGAGGCAATTTTTTGAAAGAGCAGCCCCAATAGTCAAAGCTGCTCTCCACGTGTTGTGGGGGAAACCCCCGTGGCCTGCCCAAAGCTCTGGAATCAGAGGGAATTGGGTTTTGCTTTCCAAGCCTGTTTTGAGTTGGTTTCCTAATGTCACACTGTGAGACTTGGCAGGCAGCCAGCTGAGCTTAGGAAGTGACTGACAGAGGGAACACCAGAGCTGGGCCAGAAAGGAGGGATGTGCCTGGTTTTAGCCCTGCTCCAGGCGGCCTCCAGGGCTGATGAGAAGCAGCCTTGAGAGGCCGATCGATTGCAGAGCCTGCTAGGTCCACAAACCCCTCCTGTGACAAACGACGTGTTTTTGTAGGTTCCCACATGTTGGTGGAAGCTAGTCACAGCTTTCCTGGGATTGCTAAATGCTTGGAGCCAAACTCTCCCTTTAAACTAAGGCCAAGGAGAACTCAACAACTTGCTCAAGGTCATTACTAATAAGGAATAGAGAGCCAGACACAGCCAGAAAAATACTGCATGGTCTCATTTGTATGTGGAATCTGGAAAAGTCAAAAACGTGGAAGCAAAGAGATCTGTGGTTACCAGGGACAGAGGTTGGGGGTGGGGGAGATGTTGGTCAAACGGTACGAAGTTGGCAGTTAGGCAGGATGAACACACGTGAGGACTCTAATTCATAACGTACGTCACAACGTTCTACTGGGGAGGAGGTTTGTTGCAGTGCTTAAGACTTGGCTTCGGACACTCACATGTGATATCGGAGTGCTTGGCTCCAAGTCCTGGCTCCACTTCTGATTTCAGTTTCCTGCTAATGAGCACCCTGGGAGGCAACAGGTGAGGGCTCCAGGACTTGGGTCCAAGTCCCTGCCACTCACGTGGGAGATCTGGATTGAGTTCTAGGCTCCTGACTTTAGTTTTGGCCAACCCTGGCTGTTATGGGTATTTGGGGAAGTGAACCAGCAGATGGAGGATCCTTGTCTGTCCCGGTGCCTTTCAAATAAAATGAAAATAAATAACATTTTTAAAAATTTAGGTTATTCTCTTTCCTCTGCTCCCCACAGACCACTAGAACCATCAAAAAGAAAGAAAAATATTCCTGATGTTCTTGATGCCTGTTTTCTCTCTCAGCAATCCCATTACCCCATTCCTCACCCCCAAATCCTTATACCACTTATGCACAGACATCCCTATACACCAACACATGTTGGAAAGGGTCCCAGAACTCACAGAGGAGGAGCATGCTGGTTCTGTGTACAGGTGCCCTCTCCTCTGACTTCAGCTGGTGCCCCAACTCGGAATACTCCCCCCTGCTCTCCAGGAATATGTTCTCCTTCCTTCTTTTTTAAAAACATTTATTTATGGGGCTGGTGCTGTGGCATAGCAGGTAAAGCTGGTGCCTGCAGCACCAGCATTCCATATTCCAGTGCTGGTTCAAGTTCTGGCTGCTCCACTTCTGATCCAGCTCCCTGCTAATGTACCTGGGAAAACAGTGGAAAATAGCTCAAGTGCTTGGACCCCTATACCCATGTGGGCGATCTGGAAGAAGCTCCTGGCTCCTGCCTTTGGATCAGTCCAGCTCCAGCCATTGTGGCCATTTGGGGAGTGAGCCAGATGATTGAAGATCTCTCTCTCTCTCTCTCTACCTCTACATCTCCTTCTCTATAACTCTTTCAAATAAATAAACAAATCTTAAATAAATAAGGCAGAGAGAGAGAGATTCCATCTGCTGGTTCTCTCCCCAAATGGCCACAACAGCCGGGGCTGGGCAAGGACAAAGCCAGGAGCCTGGAACTCTATCTGGGACTCCCATGTGAGTGGCAGGGGCCTAAACACTTGGGCTATCTTCTGCTGCTTTCCCAGGCACATTAACAGGGAGCTGGATAGGAAATGGAGCAGCTGTGACTTGAATCGGAGCTCATGTGGGATGTAACCACAGCAACAGCACCTTTCCTTTCTTCCTTGAAGAGGAAAACTGAAATCAAATAAAGGAAACAGAAATGGAACTCAGGGCCCTGGGGCAGGAAAAACAAAGAAAAAATAGAGCTCACAGTGGAAAACTGAGCCTTGGCAAGAATCTCAGGATTTCTCTACAAACCGTGCAAGTGTGGGGAAAACCTGTGAGCCAGACAGCCGTGGGTTCAATGTTGAGTTCTCCAGTGCAGAGATGGCCCTGAGTCACTTAAGCCTCAGCTGACTCATCTGTTTTCCTAATACATAACAAGATCTTTTTGCAATGAAGTTCTTTAATCCATATTAACTGGGGGTCTAGCTCAGACTGCCGAAAAGCCTGAAGTACAGAATATCTGTAAAGGGACTGCGGTCTTCTTACTGTCAGCAATGATATCACATTAATGTTATTAAGGACTTAGTGTGTGTTCTAAGAGCTTGACAAGCAGGAGCACATTTACAGGGACTTCCTTACACGAGGGCCTTTATTCTTATCACTGATCCAGAGATAAGGATGCCAGCAGAGAGAAGTTACCCAAGGCCATGTGGCCAAAAAGCAGAAGATGCTGCCAGCTCTCTGTCCTCAATCGTTGCCTCACCCACAGGTCCCAGACCAAAGGTGGCCAGTGAAGGGACCAGTGACAACAGGCAGAACATTTCTGCATGGATGGATGGGTGTTTCTAACATGTTTGTGATCTGTTTCTTTAAATGAGGTGGCCATGATTTCCAAAATCACATCCCTGAGGCCAGCATTGGGGTGTAGCAGGTAAAGCTGCCCTCTGCAATGCCAGCATTCCATATGGGCACCAGTTCATGTCCTGGCTACTCCACTTCTGGTCCAGAAATAGCAGAAGATGGCCCAAGGTTTTGGGCCCCTGCAGTAACATGGGAGAACTGGATGAGAGAAAATTCTCTGTCTTTCCCTCTAACTCTTTCAAAATAAATAAATCTTAAAAAAAAAAAGTCACATCCCTGTTAACCGATTAACGAGTCCTGGAGAAAGAATGAGAGGATCATTGTGAAGAGTTCAGAGCAGCACATGGCACTCAGAGAAGCCTTGAATGACTATTAACTGCCTTGCTGATGGCAGCCACTCAAAAGAGCTGGCACACTTGTCACAAACACCTGGGCTCAAATCCCACTTGACAGTTGTATGACTTGGAGGATGTTAGAAATCTCCTCTTCTGTAAGATGAGTCTGACCACCCCACTGCCTCTGCCTCCAAGTCACTGGAAGGCAGACAGGTGACAAGGCCGCCCTATTCTGGGCGTGTTCGTCCCCTCAGCCACCAAGTTACCTGTGTGACAGCAGCTAGCAAGAGGATGTCCTCAATATGTGGTTACACTTTTTTTTTTTTTAACTTGATAGCTTTTCTCTATCCATAACCACTCTTAGATAATTCAGAAGCCAGTTTCAGCCCAGCCCAGCCCAGCCTGAATTGTCACTAATTCTGAACTACCCAAATACAAAGACTTCCTATATCCAGTTCTTCAGAATGAAGTAGGGACCCCAGCTCTAAGTGGGGAACTTGGTTACAAGGATGGCTCGTCATGAGCCCTTGAATGTTGAACACTTAGAACAACGCACCCAAGTGGGAGCCTGGGCCACTGGATTCTGTCCCCAGCTCTGTCACCCATCTGCTGTGCAAGTCTCTGTTCCCTTAGCCTCGGTTTCCTCCTCTGCACCTGAAGATCATGGAGTAGGGGCTGGGGGGAGTCATCCCTTTGCAGCTTCTGTATTCTGTAACTTTTGTGCCCAGGAAGATTTTGGAAAGGAGGTGCGATCGCAGCGTTTGCTGGGTTTCCTCGTCTGTAAAATGGAGATGACAAGAGTGAATGAGTTGATGCGTGTTAAGCTCACAGACTGACTGGTGCCTGGTACAGAGAAGGCCTCAATAAACAGCGGCTGGTAATGGTAGCACATGCTGTGAAAGAGGCCTCTCTCCCTGCTAACAAGCCCATAGCCAGGAACCCCACTTTATAAACAAGGACATAGAACTTAAAGAGGTTAAGCAATTTCTCCAAAGATCATTCAGCAAGTAAATGGGGGTGAGCCTGTGGCCATGAGGAGAGCAAGAAATTCCAAAAAGAATTACCCAACTCATATCTGGTGCAAAGGCCCCTCTGCGATCTGTGGCTCCAGTCAGAGTGGGTGCCGTCACCTCCTTTGGGGACAACAGTCACATGTCCAGAGGACTCTCCTCAATAAAACACTATGTAAATAACGTCCCTCCATGGGCGAGGGAAGGGAGACAAAACTGTGCATGAGCAAGAACTCTGAAAGCGGCTGGCACCGTGGCTCACTTGGCTAATCTTCCGCCTGCAGCGCTGGCACCCAGGGTTCTAGTCCTGGTTGGGGCGCCAGATTCTGTCCCGGTTGCTGCTCTCCCAGTCCAGCTCTGCGTGGCCCGGGTAGGCAGTAGAGGATGGCCCAAGTGCTTGGGCCCTGCATCTGCATGGGAGACCAGGAGGAAGCACCTTGCTCCTGGCTTCGGATCAGCACAGCGCGCCAGCCGTAGCAGCCATTTGGGGGGTGAACCAATGGAAGGAAGATCTTTCTCTCTGTCTAACTCTGCCTGTCAAAAAAAAAAAAAAAAGAAGAAAGAAAGAACTCTGAAAGCAACCAAATCAAGACCCAGTGGCTTCTGATTCTGTCCTACATCTCCTCTTTTGTCCCCAGAGCAGCAGCTTCCTCCTCCTGAGGCGGGCAGTGCCCTGGAAGGTGAGGCCATGATGACAGCCAAGCATCCACCCGCGCTTGGGCAAAGGAGGAACTGATGAGCTCACCCTGGATGGGAGGGAGACAGAGAGAGAAACTCAAATTTCCGGAGCCTATTTCAGTTTTCTTTTCCGTTTTGTGCAATTTCACTTAGGTTATCAGCCAACGCTTAGCTGCTGTTTTGGAAACTCCCCTGGCGGGGGCGCCCCTTCTACCAGCCCTGACTGTATAAAAGGGCCAGCCTGAGCTGCCAAGGCTCTCTGCAGGGACTCCTGAGACTCAGCTCCCGCTTCTCCACAGCTCTGCCCACCGTTACCATGGAGGTCTCCGCCGCCGCCCTCGCCGTCCTCCTCACCGCTGCTGCCCTCTGCGCACCTGCATCTGCCTCCCCATGTAAGTCCAGTCCCGACTGCCTGCCGCAGCCCGTGGATTCAGACCCTCTGCCTGCGTGCCCATGCCATCTCACACTCTCTCCCAGACCTGGCTGTCTTTGCAACTGGAGTTTGTGTACTGCCTGAACCCGTCGCGCACATTCTTACCACTTTGCCTGATGTTCTGTTGCCCCTGATAGACCTCTGAGCTGCCTCACAGCAGGCATCTCCTCATCAACTATTCTGTGACTCCAGGGTCTACACCCCTGAGGCCTGCAGGCACTCACCGAGCATGGACTAGTGCTCGAGGTATTAGCAGGCAGGGGTAGCTCTCATTGACCCTGAGACATGACAGATGCATGCCTGTCAGCAGTGGCATTTCTCAGAAATTTTGAACACTCAACTAAAACCCTTGATTCAATCAACTTCTCTCTCATTTCATAGATGGCAAAAATGGGGCCTTTAAAAGGAAAATAGGGACATTTAGCCTAGTGGTTAACACACTGGTTGGGACACCTGCATCCCATTCGAGAGCCTGAGTTCAAGTCTCAGTTCCACTCCCTATTCCAGCAGCCTGATAATGCACACCCTGGGAGACAGGAGGTAATGGCCCAAGGGAATGGACCCCTGCCACCCATATCGGAGACCTGGATTAAGTTCCCAAATCCTGGCTCTCGCCTGACCCTGATCCAACTGTCCTGGGCATTTGGGAGTGAACCAGCAGATGAGAGCTCTGTCTCTGTGTCAAAAATAAATAAATATTAAAAGTTTAGTAAAAACTAGTTAAATGTCTATTATATATCAGGCATTGTGCCCATTGCTTCGCATATATCCTCTTACTTAATATTCACAGCTACTCTTTCAGTAGCTTACAGGTGGGAAAACAGAAACCCCAAAAGTAACCTGTTTAAGGGCACAGAGCTAGGAAGTGGGGGAAGAGTATTCAAAACCCATTCTAGGCCGGCGCCACAGCTCACTAGGCTAATCCTCCGCCTGCGGCACCAGCACCCCAGGTTCTAGTCCCAGTTGCTCCTCTTCCAGTCCAGCTCTCTGCTGTGGCCCAGGAAGGCAGTGGAGGATGGCCCAAGTGCCTGGGGCCTGCACTCGCATGGGAGACCAAGAGGAAGCACCTGGCTCTGGATCAGCGCAGCACACTGGCCATAGCTGCCATTTGGGGGGTGAACCAACGGAAAAGGAAGACCTTTCTCTCTCTCTCACTGTCTAACTCTGCCTGTCAAAAACACACACACACACACACACACAAAATTCTATCTGAGGCTCAAGAGGGTAAGGTCACGTGGCCACGGACACACAGTGGTAGGGTAGGGATGCCAGGAAGGAATGAGGGAAACTCTGGGAAGAGCATCACCACCGCTCTGCTAAGGCCACACGTGCTTCCCAGCATGCTCTTTTTTTTTTTTTTTTTAAGATTTTTATTTATTTTTTAAGATTTATTTTATTTATTTGAAAGAGTTACAGAGAGAGGTAGAGACAGAGAAAGAGTTCTTCCATCTGCTGGTTCACTCCTCAAATGGAGACAATGGCCAAAGCTGAGCTGATCCGAAGCCAGGAGCTTCTTCCAGGTCTTCCACGTGGGTGCAGGGGCCCAAGGACTTGAGTCATCCTCCACTGCTTTCCCAGGCCACAGCAGAGAGCTGTATCGGAAGTGGAGCAGCTGGGACTTCAATCAGCACCCATATGGGATGACAGCACTGCAGGCAGCAACTTTAACCCACTGTGCCATAGCGCCAGTCCCCCAGCACACTCTTGAATTGACCAAGAGGCCCTCTGCTCAGAGTGCTTCTCCCTGCAGCTCAGCCAGGGCTCCCAGGAGGCCATAGGCATCTCCAGGGACTCTGTAGGGTGAGGCCTGAGCCATGTGGAACTCACAACCAGTTCTCAGGAAAAAAAAAGTCCTTCCACTTGGGATCCTGGCAGGGGCAGAGCTGAGCAGAGGGTCCAGGACAAACCAGGAAGGGGCTCAGAGACCCAAGGGGGACCCCAGGGCAGGAGCTGCAGTGTGAAGGCAAGGGTGAAAACCTGGCTCCGGGCTGGGCAAAAGCCTAAGAAGGGCCTCTCGGTCCTTACTGGAACCCCCACTTAAACGCTGTGTGCCATGGCCAGGTGACTTGACCCTCCCGAGTCTCAGTTTCTGCCAAGGTGGATACTGTTCAAGAGAAATCACAGGAAGTGTGCAGCACAATGCCCACTGTGCACCGGCAATGAATAAAGCGGCTTTCTCCACCTTCCTTCTCCCAGATGCCTCGGACACCACGCCCTGCTGCTTTGCCTACATCTCCCGCCTGCTGCCCCGGGCCCACGTCACGGAGTATTTCTATACCAGCGGCAAGTGCTCCTTCCCGGCAGTTGTGTGAGTCTCAGCCCTGTGGGGGTTGGGGGGCAGGGGAGAGAGGAATGCCTCTTGCTCCTTTTGGGAGCCAATTCCCCTACAAGTCCTCTGAAAGGGCACCCAGTCCACACTCCCCATCCTGTAGCTGCTCAAACACCCACCACCCCTCGCCTCTAGCCCATGTCAAAGGACCAGACAGGTGCTCTGGGAGGTCCTGCCCGCCCTGATAGGCCAGGTTCCCAGGATTGCAGTCTTTACCCATGTGGCTTTCACTGGACGTGGTCTGGAACACCTCTGTGTGCAGAGGTGGACTCAGCCATCACTTTCCATTTAAGGGCATTCTAATGCCCCACACCCCACACCCCATCAGGTTCACCTAAATAAATAAGAGCAGCCAGAGAGGAGAGGTCAGAAGTCAAGTGCCTAATTCTAATCATGTAAAAAATGAACAGGAAAAGTATCCGTTGGGGAAGAAATAATGAGATGAGACTCACCTCTAAATATGTAAGCTAATACATTGAGAAAAACACAATATCCCTACCACATAGGAAGTGCCCACTATGTTTCAAATGTCCTATTACATTACCTCTCTGTTTCTCATGACAGCCCTGGCAGGTATTTGTAGTTCTCACCATCGAGAGGTTTGTCTGCTCACCAAGGCTGCACAGGAAGGGAGGCAAGGAGCCCGTATGTGGAGCTCCTGTCATGATGGCTGTTTAAGAAGCTTAAGATGACAGAGGCTTAAAGAATTCAAATGGGGCAATCATAAAGTTTTCTATATAAGGGTAAATGTTTTTAACACAAAATTATCAAGCCAATGGCAAAGATGTGAGTATTCGAAGATGGACTTTAGTTTTCTGAGGAACTCCTCAAAGAATGGTGGCAATATTTAGCCCTGTTATTTCTTTAAAACATTTTTGTTTATTTTGTGGGGGGGAGAAAGAATCTTCCACCTGCTAGTTTGCTCCCCAAGTGGTACAACATTTGGGGCTGAGCCAGGTTGAAGCCAGAAACTAGGAACTCATTCCCCAGGTCTCCCCCATGGGTGACAGGTGCCCAATTACTTGAGCCATCACCTGCTGCCTCCCAGTGTGTGCATTAGCAGGCAGCTGGAACCAGGTGCAGAGCTGAGACTCAAACTCAGGCACTCCGATCTAGGATGCTGGTGTTTCAAGCAGCATCTTCACCACTGTGCCAAACATCTGCCCTGCTAACTTCATTTCTGAACTCAAAATTTTTTTTTTTTTTTTTTTTGACAGGCAGAGTGGACAGTGAGAGAGAGAGACAGAGAGAAAGGTCTTCCTTTGCTGTTGGTTCACCCTCCAATGGCTGCCGCGGCCGGCGCTGTGGCTGGCACACCGCGCTGATCCAATGGCAGGAGCCAGGTGCTTCTCCTGGTCTCCCATGGAGTGCAAGGCCCAAGGACTTAGGCCATCCTCCACTGCACTCCGAGGCCATAGCAGAGAGCTGGCCTGGAAGAGGGGCAACCGGGACAGAATCCGGGGCCCGACTGGGACTAGAACCCGGTGTGCCGGCGCCACTAGGCGGAGGATTAGCCTGTTGAGCCATGGCGCCGGCTCTGAACTCAAATATTTTTTAAAAGAAAAAAAGCACCTGTTATGGACAGAGATTAATAAAACCACCAGGTGCCTTATGAGGTGCACAATCTAGTACAAGGGATGAGACTGACTCAGCAATGACTAGAGTACCCTACACAAGAACATCGCATAGACAGCAGGGGAACACGTCAGCTTCAGGGGACAGGACAGGGGACCTAGAGGAGGTTTGCTGCCAGAAGCACTGCTTGAGGAGAGGTTTGGACCAGCAGAGAACGGCCTGCAGGAAGGGGTGTATCAGGCAGAGAGCCCATCGCCAGGGTCCAGTTTGGTTTACATAGACTTCAGGTAGGAAAGCACAGAGGGCCTAGAGAACGAGAACAATGCAGCCAAAGCTGCCAAGTGCAAAAACGAGTTAGCACGCAGAAAGGCTGCGAACCAAGGGTCCAGTCAGGAGCTGTTGTCTGTGTTCACGTGAGGGGCACTGGAGGCTGAACAGTGCCTGAAGGAAAGGAGAGAGGAGACCTTAGGAGGTGGAATTAGCAAGCCCTGGCAGGGGATCAGGAGTGTCGGGGAGAGAGGGGAGCCAAGGCTGAGGTTCTAGTGCAGACAGCTGCAGAAGTGTGGACCCACCCTAAGTGGTGAGAAGAGCTGTTTATAGAGGCAAGAGCCACAGGGGCAGCCAGACCACCTCATGGAAATACCCTGTGGGGAGTGCGAAACAAAGGCTTGGTAGCGGAGAGAAGGGTTTTGGGGTTAGAAATCCAACACTGTCTTGGTGGGCACTGGCTCCAGAGTCAGTCTGCCTTTGTGAAGAGCCCCAGCTGGGCCAGTTGGTGAGCTCTGCTTTCTGACCCTCAATTTCCTCATCTGCAAAATGGGGTAATACAAGTACTTTCCTCACCAGGTCACAGCAAGAATAAAATGCTTAGAAAGTTCTCTGGTACATAGTATGTGCATGATAAATGCTAACCTATTATCATCTAAATGTATTCTTACACACCCAGAAGGTGACATTTAAGGAGGGCATGCAACTCATTCATTCACTTATTCAATAAGCACTCATTAAGCACCAACTGAGTGCCAGGCCCAGAGACTTGGGAGAGAATACAGACAAGAGCAAAGGGCAGTGACTGACAGTACCTGCTCTTAAGGGGCACAGGGAAGCAGTGAAGTCAGGCAAGTAAAAGGTCCCCGAAATAGAGGCAGGCAGGGACAAGCTGGAGAAGAGGGGCTGCTCTTTGGAGTTACATGCTGCAGGCGGGGGAGGGAATGGGGGCCTGAGCAGCCCTCACCTCGGGTGCTGGGTCCCCAGCCTTTTGACCTCCTGACTGCAGGCTGAGGATGCAGAGAACATCTCTTATGTGACAAGGGCGCCCATATCATCCCAAATAAGAAAACAAACATGAGGCGGCACAAGAGCCCAGAACACCCCTGTGCTCCCTTTGCTGTCTGCACACCAGGGCAGAGCGGTTGGGGTGAGGCTCCGCCAGCAGCCAGGAAAGCCTCCTTCTCCCCAGACCACCTAGGCCTCAGTGTGCATAAGAATGTGCGAGATAAACTTCCTGTTGTACAGTAGGGGGACTGTAGATAAGGTACTGTGTGTTTCTCTATGTAAAAAGCCTAGAAGATAGGATTTCAGATGTTTCCCTAAAAGGACATGTTAAATTCTTGATAAGATAAAAATATTGACCCTGACTGAATAGCACACCATGTCTATATGTAACAAAACATTACATATTACACATAAATATGTACAACTACTTTTAAAGAAAGATAAACGTGGGTCATAAGGGGTAAAGCCACTACCTGTGACACCAGCATCCCATATGGGTGCCGGTTCATGTCTTAGCTGCTCTACTTCTGATCCAGCTCCTTGCTAATGTGCCTGGGAAAAGCACCAGAAGATGGCCCAAGTGCTTGAGCTCCTTCTACCCACACAAGACCCAGATGAAGCTCCTAGATCCTGGCTTTGGCCTGGCCCAGCCCTAGCTGTTGCAGCCATTTGGGGAGTGAACCAGCAGATGAAAGATCTCTTGTCTCTCCCTCTGTAACTCTTTCAAATAAATAAAAATCTTAAGAAAAAAAGATAAACTTTAAAATGGTTAAAATGGTAAGTTTTAGGTTATACAAGGATACTTCAAAAAGTTTATAGAAAATGAAATCAAAATATGCTTATTTTAATGTAAAATTTTTGAAAACTGATTACATGTATTTTACCACAATGTTTTTAAAATTTTTAAATATTTTTCATCTATTTGAAAGTTAGAGCAACAGAGAGAGGGAGAAAGAAATCTTCCATCCACTTATTCAATTCCCAAATGCCTGCTATACCAGTGCTGGGTCAGAAGCCCAGAGCTCCACAGGGGTGGCAGGGGCCCAAATACTGCCTCCTGGACAGCTTCTTGCTAATATACGTACCTAGGAAAGTATTAGATAATGGCCCAAGTACTTGAGTCTCTGTCATCCATGTAGGAGACCCAGAGTTCCTGGCTCCTGGCTTCAGCCTGGCCTACCCCAGGCTATTGTGGCCATCTGGTGAGTGAACCAGTTGGATGGAAGAACCTCTCTCTCTCACTCTGCCTTTTGAATAAACAATCTTTTTATAGAAATAATGAAAATATTAAGCTAAAATATAAGCAGTAAATACATAGGACATCAAAATATATTTGAACATAATATTTCAACATAGAGAATACATTTATACATATTTCCTGTGTTTCTTAGGACAAATAAAATTGTTTTGCTGTACAGTAATGCAGCATACTGCGCAGCTCAGCTAGACTCTTTTTAAAAAACTTCTGGACAATAAAGTTAATTTTCGTTCCATGAGAACCTCTAAAATATTTTACCTGTTACTCTAAGTAAAAACCAACATTCAACTTTTTTTTTAAATAGCAATAATGTGCAAGAAAACATCCTAAAGGTGAAGGCAAAGCGAGAGAGGAACAAACAGGCCAGGCTGACCCGGAAGGAACCTGCGACCTGGCAGCACTGCCGTCAGCAGCCTCTGTCCGTCAGAACCAGTCTCCCAGCAGACAGGGAAGGCGGGCAGCTGGGCAGATCCTCAGCACCCCCAGCTTTCACCTTCCAGCTCACACCTCCATCAGCACTGTGGAGATTAGCCCCCTAACCTCGCAGCCCCCACGTGCCGCCTGGCTCAACAGCAGAAATGTGTGGACACTGTCGATATCACAGGACCCTCGACCTCTCAGAGCCCACAGTGCCCACAGCCAGGGCGTCAGCCCTCACAGTGCTCTGACCCCACATCCTAATAAAACCACCACCACACGTATGGTATTTTTCAAAACTCCTTCAGACATGTTATTTCATATATATATATATTATTTTTTTTGATAGGCAGAGTGGACAGTGAGAGAGAGAGACAGAGAGAAAGGTCTTCCTTTGCCGTTGGTTCACCCTCCAATAGCTGCCGCGGCCGGCGCGCTGTGGCCAGCGCACCGCACTGATCCGAAGGCAGGAGCCAGGTGCTTCTCCTGGTCTCCCATGGAGTGCAGGGCCCAAGCACTTGGGCCATCCTCCACTGCACTCCCGGGCCACAGCAGAGAGCTGGCCTGGAAGAGGGGCAACCGGAACAGAATCCAGTGCCCCGACCAGGACTAGAACCCGGTGTGCCAGTGCCGCAAGGCGGAGGATTAGCCTAGTGAGCCTTTACAACAATCATACAAAGTGGGAATTATTTCTATCAGCATTTTAGAGGCCCTCAGAGATTTGCCTAGGCAATCCAACAAACAGGAGGTGAAACCAACACTCAGGTGTGTGCACTTCTTCTACTCACCCATGAGTGACTCTACCGCGAGTGCAATCACGCAGAGCTCCCAAAATGCCCTATTCCAGTGCATCGCCATTTCCCTCTAGACCCCACCCTCCTTGGCCCTAAAGCTGGCTGCCCCAGTGCTCACAAGATCTCACCCTTCTCCTCTCCAACAGCTTTGTCACCAGGAAGAACCGCCAGGTGTGTGCCAACCCAGAGAAGAAATGGGTTCGGGAGTACATCAACTCTTTGGAGATGAGCTAAGATGCATGGCGCCTTGAACCTGAACTTGCACACACTCTGCTCTTGTCCCGGCCAGCATGGGATGCTTCCTCCCATTGCCTTCCTCCCACCCACTCCTTGGAGGGCACAGGCTCTACCACACAGCAGCAGGTATAAAAGCCTCCCCAGCTAAAGCCTCCAAGAGCCACTGAGGCTCTGCCTCGACAACAGGAAACCTCTAGGTGCTGAGGTTCATGCCCCTCCGTGCGGCCACAGCTCTGTGACCAGGAAGGAAGTCACTGTGCCTCTGAAGACAAAGAAGAGAATATGGGGTTCCTATGGGGGTGTACCGAGGCCAGAGCTCCCACCTCAAACCTAAGAAATCAGCTTTCCATTAAAATTCTCAGCACAATTACAAAGTTGGCTCCTGGTTTCCTTTTCTCCTTGGGACCCCTCCTTCCCCAGGAATGTTGAGCACACAGGGAGCACAATAGCAACTTAACTGTTGCTGGCCCTAGATCTGGGGGCTCAGGGCTGGGAGGAAAAAGAAGGTAGCACAGGCAGGAAGAGGAGGTAAAATCCCTGGTGGCTTATCCACTGTGGGATGGGGTTTGCCACAGTCATTACGTGCTCACGCCCAAGCCACCAGGCGTTCAGCTCACTCCCTTGATTCCTTGGGCCCTGGTCGGCCATTCCACACTTATCTACCCTATACTTTATCCCCAGCGGGTTCCACCCCACACTGGCCTTCAGGACAGGATGGATGGCAAACCAAGGGCCTCCGATATTTCAATGAGAATGAGGTGTGTGTACGGCTTTCCACAACTACACCAGTGTTTACAGTTACAGCATTCCAACCATGCATCCCTTCAAGTGAACATGCTGACAGCACTCAGAATTACAGTTAATATTGAGTGAGCACCCACAACGTGCCAGGTATTGGTCCAGCCCTCGCACTCACCATCCTTTTTCATTCTGATAACCCTTTGGGGTAGGTGTTATTATTGACCCTGCTGGCAGTCAGGAAACTGCAACTCTTGGCAACAGAGGAAACTGAATTGCCCGAAGCACCAGAGCAGGAAGAATAAAAATGTGGGTGGGGTTTCCAATTAAAATTTTGAAGTCCAATGCCAAAGCTCAAGCTTTTCATCCCTACCACCACTCCACTTTTTATTTGGAAAATTTCAGCCCCACCAAAATTTGCAATAAGATATCCATAAACACTTCATCTACATCCAGATACTACTATCTTCCCACACTGGCTTTCTCAGTGTATGGATGAGGGGGTGGGGTAAATACAATTTTGCTGAGCCATCTGAAACTTGCAGATGTGATATCGCTTTATCTCCTTAAAGTTTAGTGTGCATCTAGTGAAAACAAGGACATTTCTAGAACCACAATGAATAGCGCACTCAGGAAACTTAACAACGACACAATATTATTTTCTAACATGTACTCCACAAATTCTCCCCACTGTCCCCATAGTGTCTCCTTTATAGCTATCTTTTTAAAATTAAGGATCCAATTAGGTGCACACACTGAATTTCGCAGTCATGTCTTTTTGCATCTTTTGAACACTTTACACTCCCATTTTTCAGGAGCCCAGATTTTGGTAGAACGGTCTTACATTTGCCTGCTATGGCTCATCATCAGCCTGGGATTAGCTGTCTTTGTTGAGAGTGCCTCATAAGTGATGTCAGCCTTCTCAGCACGACACACCAAAGCACATGGTGTCAGCTCACGTTGAGTCTGGACCATAATGGCCCATGTCTTCCTGCCACAGTGAGCCGCCTATCAGACGCCAGGCACGGAGAGGGAGCAGAACAGAGAGGGGAATGAGCCGCAGTCTTTACCTGTAGGCAGCCTGCAGTCCAGTGAGGGAGACAGACCTACGAACAGATGAAACACAATAAACACAAGGAGGGAACTGCACCAAAGGCTGCGGGCACATTGCAGTGTGTGTGTATGTGGGGTTACATCACTGACTGAGGTGGGGCCAAAGAGAGACTTCAGAGATAAGATAACCACAGAATGGAAAGATTTGAGTAACCATTTAAGGAGGAGAAAAGGAAGGGAAAGGTCTGACATGCAAAGGAAACAGCAGATGCAAAAGTAGGGGGTATGAAAGGCAGCTTGCCAAGGAGGGAGGGACATGTATAAAAGGAGCTTGGCGACTATTGCAGCCAAGTGGGGAGTGAACCAGCGGATGGAAAACCTCCCTCCCTTTCCCTCTCTCTGTGTAACTCTAACTTTCAAATAAATAAATAAATATTAAAAAAAAGAGGAGCTTGGCCAGTCCTGCCATTTTCCTGATGACCAATCCTAAGAACAACCCCTGCCCAACCTAAGTCCACAAGAGCTTGGCAGTTCACCCAGCACTGTGACTTTTTTTTCTTTTTAATTTACATTTCATCACATCCCCTCTTGGCCAGACAAGCACGACTTCCCCACTTTTTTAGGTAAGGAAGCTGAAAAAGGTAACTTGGCCAGCTCAAGTCCACAGGCCAGTGGAGGCCAGGGGTGGAGCTCCAGCGTGGAACCTGAGTGTTCTATTTACCAAGGCAATCTGGTTGCCCAGCACTTGGAAGCTTCTACCTCCAGAAGTCCAGACACCTCACTGTCCCCTCCTTGTACCACAGAGGACAGGGCTCCTCCTGCTGTGTCCCTACTCCCTCAACAGCCCTGCCCCCACCAGGAGAACAGGATGTCCTATGAAAGAAAAACCGATATCTTTGACATCTCCAGGTTAATGCTCAAGTACCCATGGCTGGAATATCGAGACAGGACCAAAGGTGAGGCTGGAATGCATAGGAAAGGAGCCAGGGGCGGGGCCCTCAAAGGCAGGCTCCCAACCCAGGCAAGAGACTGGATGAGTTCAACAAACCCCTGGGAAAGGGCAGGCCATGGGAACTTTGATGGGCCTCAAGGTAAATCTCCAGCCCTCATTAAGGGCCACGGCAGCCTCTAAGATAGATAGGACCCCCTCGGGTCTCCCCAGCTTCGTTCTCCTCCACACCTGCACCCTGTTCTCTACCCCAACCTCACACAACCAAGGCTTTGCATGAGCTGTTCCCTGTGCACCATGCCCTCCCCCTTACCTATCTGGCTAAATCCCGAAGACTCAATGTGTGTGAAATCTCTGGAAACCCTGATCACTTCCAAGCCAGGCCAGGTGCCTCTCCCACAGCTGGACCACCAGCACCTGCATCTGTCTTCACATTTGTGCCCCCCACCACCTCCAGTTACTCACCAAGAACCATTCCCATCTCACTAGTCATACCAGCAGTTCTCAAAATGTGGGCCCAGGATCAGCAACAGCAGCATCTCGTTAGCAATGCAAGTTCTCAGACCCCACCCCAGAACTAGGCAATTGGATCATCGTGGGATGAGTCCCAGGTGATCCCAGTACACGCTCAAGGCTGAGAAACTAAAGGACACCAGTGGGTTTTTGGCCTCAGCTGCACTTCACAATCTTCTGGGGCATGCTCTAAAATGCCTATCCCCCTTCCCCACAGACTAGGATTCAGTTAGTCTGAGGTAGGGCCTGGACATACTCAAAGTTCCCCCAAATAATTGCAATTTGTAGCCACGGTTGACAACACCCTGCTTGACCAGTGTTTCTCAGACTTGAGTGTGTGTAGGAATCATCTGCAGATCTCGCTAAACTAAAGCTGCTCAACGCTGCAGGTCTGGGGATGCCCTGAGATTCTGCATCTCTAAACCGCTCCCAGGCTACGACCACACTGGTGATCGGTGGCCCACGTACTAGACAGCAAGGTACCAGGAGACTGTGGGGCAGGAATGGTGCCTTACCCGCAGCTCTGAGCCCTGGTGGAGCACTTGGTGTTAGAACTCACAGAACACCAAATATAACGCGTGACTCCTGCAGCTGCCCTGGCAACCGCTCATTTGTGCTACAGCCACACTGTCACCCTCCCCCCTCTTGTCAGAACTCAGAGAAGCCATGGCTCCTGTCCGCCTGCCCATGTCCTGCTACCAGGTAAGACCCTTCACCTTTGCCACCGTGGGAGCTGGGTCAAAGTGGGCGGGGCGGCACACAGAACTCTGCTGCTCTCCCCAGGCTGCGGCTCACTGTGTGATCTGGGCCGAGTCACTGCTCCTAGGCCAACCCCTGTAGAACTGCTGTGGGACAAAGTAGATGAGGCCTGGGCTAGGCAGGGGCTGCTCATGAATGAGTCATGTTCATTAGTGCTTCGGCAACCCTCACAGTTCAGGTTAAATACATGTGAACGTCAGATAAAGGAGTGGCTTCTTAGCATGAACGTGTCTCAGATACATCATTCTTCATTACCTGCAATCCAAATTTAACCTGACCCCTACCTGGCTGTGTGCGTATTTTCTGCTGAATCTAGCAACCTACCCACTGTGAACCAAGGCTCTGTTTTCTGAAACCATGATCGTCATCTGAGAGCCCTTATTTTGATTTTTTTTCAGTCGCCAAATTGGGAACCATCAGCCTCTTTCCCTTCTGCCCAGAGAGATTAGTTGTAACGGGGGGGGGGGGGGGGGGGGGGAGGGGTTGATAAGAGAGGAATCCCAGCCAAAGCCCCAGACCCACCCTGAACCATCCCCTGCACTCAGAGCTGCAATGAGGCGCATGTTTTCCCAACCACACTCTGAAGCTCCCCAGGGCAGGAGAGACAAATGCACCCAGCACATTGCCGGGAACATAGGAGCTGTCGCACGAGCACCTTGCTGGGCACTAGCTTGCCTTTCCCCTACTCTGACTTCACTTCGCCCCACCCAAATAAGCTTTTCAAAGTGCTCTGAAACCCTCAGTTAAGCACACTGGGTTCTCAGCTCCATTTGTGGGCCCCCAACGGCTTCACCACCTGCATCTCTTTTACTACTCAAAACCACCTTGGGAGAACAATCAAGGATTGCCAGCCCTGTTTTACAGATGAGAAAACCGAGGCCTTGGTGGCCACAAGTAGCTAGCCCAAGTCACACAGTGGGTTAGGTGGTAGCTATGACTCCAGGCCACATGAAAGGCTGAAGGGCCCCCCCTCTCTCCCCACCAGCTCCACCCTCCACCCCTTTCCTCACTCCCATCACTCAAGTAAGGGCCTAGGAGAGCCTCTGACTCTTCTGCCACTTGCACCCCCCAGGTGCCGAAGGAAGTGTACCCCCCGAGTCCAGACTGCTGGCGACAGCACTCCCAAAAGCCCAGTGTGATCCCTTACTGCTACTCGGAGACGCCTGAGACTGACATGCACTGGAACATCCTGTATAATCAGCAAGAGGAATGGGAGACCCAGAGGATGTTAGCGAAAATGAGAGACCAGCCGAGGTGTGCCGGGGCTCTGCCCACCTCTGTACTCTCCACACCCACCACAGCTTCTAGAAAAGGGAGGAAGGACAAGGAAGGGGTGGGCCAGGCCAGCCTAGGGGGTGTCACTGAGCCCCCACTTGTCTGTCTCAGGGTTCATCTCTGCGCAGGGTTGAGGCCCCTGACAGGGGTGAGGCTGCAGCCTGAGGAGGGGACCACAGGCGCCTGTGCCATTTCTTTCTCAGGTACCTCCAGCAGGAGACTCACATCCAGAACTTCTATCTCCCCATGAACAAGCTGACTTCAAAAGCTCAGGCAATACCCGAGCCCTTGGAGCCCACCAGGGACCCTCTGAAGTGGCAAAGATTGAAGGTCAGGACCACGGCGGGGGAGGGGAGAGGAGTGGAGGGTATGGGGAGTCTCCCCCACCCCTACCCACCTTGGTGCCCTTACCTTGGGCTCACACTGTCCTTCCGCCGTCAGCACCCGCCTGAAAGTGGAGGTGGAGGAGGAAGGGGACTAGGACTGGATAAGCTGCCTTCAGTTTGAAGCTCTACACTTGTTTTCTTTTCTTCCTTTCCACCGGCTCCTTGGATTGGCAGGAACTCATGAAAAGCCTGAAATCTCCCCAAGAGGATGAACAGCTGTACGCAGCACAGGTGAGAAGCAGCCAGGGTGGAGGAGGGTGGCTTCAGCGAAGAATCAGCTGGGCTGGAAAGTCAAAAGCTGCTTAAAGTGGGTGGTGGGGGCAGAGGTGGTGTTCCAAGTACAAACTCCAGCTGCGTCCAGAGGATGGGCGCTCCTGGAGATGGTGTCTAGGGTCTCTTGCTTCCCCCACCCTGCCCTTCCTGCAGGCTCTAGGGTACTTGGACGTCAGTGACAAGTTTGTCATGGAGGCACTGTGGCAGGTGGTGAGTCTGGGGCTGCAGGAGCTCAGGAAAGGAGGAAAAGGGGTTCTGAGTGTGTAGAGTGGACATGTGACACAGACAGAGTGCCCCAGGGCACCACAGGATAGGTCAGATCCACTGAGGAGAGAGCCACCCGCGGGGAGCGTGCCCTTGGCCCCTTCCAAGGACAGCTTGAAGGAAGGGGGCTGGGGAAGGAGGAATGTGAATGGGAGGTGAGGAGAACTGGAACTGAGTCTCTTCTCCACCTGAACTGAAGCAGTGCCCCCTACATATATGTCAGCTTGCAAGTGAGAGCACACATTATCCACAATCTCATTTAACTTCCAACACTGGAAACAGCTAGTAGTGTCTGTGCTTCGCTACTAGGGAAATGGAAGGTCTCAGAAGCCAAGTGCTTGCCTAAGGCCAACTGCCAAGGTCAGTCCTGCTTCCATTGCACTGTCGGAGTAAAGACAGGTCAGTCTCTAGGCCTCAATTTCCCCTTGTGCTAAAGGGAGATAGCTCTGAGGTGCTCCCTCAACCTCTGCCATTCCATTACCTTTTGGCATATTTCTAACACCTGCCTCTTCATTCAGGCCCAAACTGGTTCAGAGAAAGTGAAGTATGAGGCCTATCGATCCCTGGCCATCCTGGGTGAGTACGACCTCCCCCTGGGTGGGGAAGTGAGGGAGATGAGAAAGTGCAGCCACTTTCTCCCGTGGGTAAGGACAGAGGGAGCTGAGTACACACCACTCCAGCCCAGCCTGTGGCAGGGTCTGGGAACTACCCTAACCACAGTCGGGCAGAGAGAGGAAGTTGGGGTGAAAAGGAGAGAGGAAAAGCTCCTGGAATTGTGTCCATGCTCAGCCAGCTGCTCTGCTGGCCTGGGGGCATGAGCAGCACCTTGGCTCCCAGAACTCGGAACTTCTGTTGGGAGGGCACAGTGGTGTTCACTGGGTCCTTGCAGATAAGAGCCGTCCCCGAGGCTCTGCTCTGACGGAGGGCCCTCCCTACCCAGGCTGTCTGAATAAGCACGTGATCCATGCCCTCATCAAACAGCTGAAGGGGCAAGATGAGGGTCGAAGGATGGAGACTCTGACCGGGCTGCGAGTGGCTCTGAACTCCTGGGCGGCTGTCCCTAAAGACAAGGTGATTGGGAGGACAGCTTGTCACTGGGGCAGGGCTACTGATGGACAAAGCTACTGATGGGTTTGGCTAGGAGTTAGGTCAGGACGAAGGTAACCCAGCTCTCAGCTTTGATAAGGGAAGATAGTGCCCTGTGGAGCACCCCCTGGAGTCAAACAGAAGCATATGCTCAGCCACTTACTACCCAAACCACTTGAAAACAGCCCACTTCCATAGCTCATGCATTTGCTCACCTCAAAGAGAATAATTGCTTCACAGCATTGAGATGACAGCACTTAGTACAATGTCCATGCTCCCTAAATGGTAACCGTCACTCTCACTATCATCCCTAAAATAAAAACAGGACCTTGGTCAGGAGCGGGTGGGGATACTACCCTCAGTTTTCTCCTCTTAAAGGTACTTTTATTTGACCCTATCACTGCCATGTGAAAGAGAATCCATCATTCACTCAGAAAATACGTATTAAATGGCTAACCACGTGCTGGGCACAGCCTTTGTGATCCATCAATGAACTGAACAAGTTCAAGATGCCTGCCCTTGCAGAGCGTGCATGGTGGGGGGAGGGGGACCAATCCATCTAATTATATTCACATAGTGTGTCAGCGGTGCGATGGGGTGTAGCAGGGTGAAGGCGATCAGGAGTGCCAGGTGAGAATGGGGATGGGCTGCAACTGTAAACGAGACAGATGGGGAAGCCCTCACTTAGAAGCTCCGTTTGGAAAAATCATGAAGAAGGTGATGGGGTTGAGCCATACAGATCTCTGAGAGAAGGCATTCAAGACACAACTGCTCCATGGAAAGGCAGAAATGTTCCTGAGAGAGTCAAGGACAGCAGGAAGGCCAGTGTGGCTCAAGTCAGGTTAGAGTAAAAAGAGCAGCAGGAAAGGAGGGCCAAGAAAAGTCATTAACAGATCACACATGGCCTCCTGAACTGTTCTAATTACTTGCACTTCTGTCAATAGAATAAAGAATGATTAGAGGCTTGTTTCTTCTTGTTTGATTTATATATTGATTTGAAATGCAGAGCAAGATCTTCCATCCACTCGTTCACTCCCCAAATGCCTACAACACCCAGTGCTAGGCCAGGATAAAGCAAGGAGCCTGGGACTCCATCCAGGTCTGCCATGTGAGTGGCAGGGACACAAGTACTTGGGTCATCTTCTGCTACTTTCCCAGGTGCTTTAGCAGGGGAGCTGGATCAGAAGCAGAGTAGCAGGGATGTGGGAAGCATTGACTTAGCCTGCTGTGCCACAACACCTGGCTTTGGAACAGAGTAGTAACATGCTCTAACTTATATTTCCAAAGGTTCACCCTGACTACTGCAAAAAGACAGAGGGCAGGGGACCAGGAGTGGAAAACAGGGAGGCCAGCTGGAGGCTATTGAAACAATCCTGCAATGTAATGGTGGCCATGGCCCAGGGTGGTCAGAGTAAACATAAAGCAAAGTGGACATAAAGAAATGACATAAAATACAACTCCTGACCAGATGACTGGGAGCTGTAAAAGACAGTGAGGAAACAAAGACAAAGCCAAGGTTTTGGCCTGGCAGCAGAAAGGAAAATGCTGTTAACAACGAGGGTCAGGAGAACTGCAGATGTAACAGGTCTCGAGGCAACGTCAAAAGCCCAGTTTTGGACAAGCTACGTCTGAAATATCTATTGGAATTCCTAGGGAGATGGCAGGTTAGTGGAAACAACATGGAATTCACGAGAGACATGTGAGCTAAAGAAGAAATTCAGGAGTTACCAACAAACAGCACTTACTGTCACTAAGCTAGATGAGATCACTAAGAAAAGAGCTAAGAATTGAGCTTTGGGGCCCCCCAGTGTTAAGAAATCAGAAAAAGGAGGAGGAACCAGTAAATTCTGAGAAGTACCTAATGAGGTAGAAAGACAACCCAAAGTGAAAATCCAGTGCGAAACAGGCACGTGTACTTAAAAAGTTCATGGGAAATGGTATTAAAAGCTAAGTTTGTTCTGGTGTGAAAAAACTTTCCAAATGTAGTTTTTTCATAATACACGTGTTCCATTTTTGAAGTATGCTCCTCTATCAAGGAAGGCAGATAAATCAATCATGTAATGTACAGATAAATATGTGGATTTAACAACTTAACAGTTATCTTGTGGGGTTGTATGGGAGAAACTCACGGGAGTGAGTAGGAGAGAGACTGGGAGAAAGACACTAGAGACAGCGAGTATGGACAACCTTCCAAGTTTTGCTGGGAAGGGCAGTCATTGACACCAGAGGTAAAGGTTAGAAAAAAAAGAATAACAGCATGCTGAGGGGTAAAATTCAATGGTTAGTCAAAAGATGATTTTTTTTTTCAAACCTTATTTTTTTGAAAGCAGAGTGACAGAGAGAGGAAGAGACAGAGATCGTCCATTTGCTGGTTCATTCTCCAGATGGCTACAACCACCAGGAATGGGCCAGCCTAAAGCCAAGAGCTAGGAAGTCCACCCAGGTCTTCCAAATGGTTAGTAAGGACCCAAGCACTTGGGCCATCTTCTGTTGCCTTCCCAGGCACATTAGTAGGAAGCTGGATCAGAAGCAGGGTAGCCAGGACTCAAACTGTCACTCCAATATGATCTGATATGAAATGCTGGCATTCCAAGTGGCAACTTAAACTGCTATTCCACACTGCTGGTCCCAAAAGTGATAATTTTTGAAGACAGCATGTAGAATTGCCGCAGCAATGTCCATGAATGGGTAAGAGGGAACAAGATCTAATACACAAGTGGAGAGAGACTGGCTTTAGCCAATGATGTCTCCACACCCTTGTAACAAATGGAAAGGAAGAACACATGGGTGGGGACAGGTGTTGGAAGTCAGCTAGAGGTGGCAGTGGGTGCCTAGGGGGCTTCTTTTCTGGCCGCTTTTATTTTCTCAGTGAAGTGAGAAGCAAGGTCAACAGCCAAGAGATGACAGATAAAGAAGTATTAAAGGCTCCATAGGAAAAGGCATGGATTAAGAGGAGAACGGCATGGCCCAGAGAAAAATGCTATGATTGCCAGGCAGCATTAAGGATGTAAACAAGGTTTGTGTTCATACACTCAAAGCATGATTGGTCATTTGTGACTGTGATGTTGATTTTCTCCAGGCGAGTTGGATTAAACCAAGATTACAGTTCTCTCAAGGGAATACAACGAAGTAAGGGGGCATAAAGGAGTTGGGAGTGAGGCAGGGGAATAATCATAACAGGACCATGGAATTTAACTGGGATCAAGAGAGAAAGGGATCAGTGCTGTGGCGTAGCAAGTAAAGCTCCTGCCTGCAGTGCCAGCATCCCATATGGATGCCAGTTCGAGACTCGGCTGTTCCACTTCCCATCTAGCTCTCTGCTGTGGCCTGGGAAAGCAGTAGAAGATGGTCCAAGTCCTTGGGCCCCTGAACCTATGTGGGAGACCCAGAAGAAGCTCCTGGCTCTGAAGAGGTACAGGACCAACCATTGCAGCCAATTGGGGAGTGAACCTGCAAATGGAAGACCTCTTTTTCTCTCTCTCTGTAACTCTGCCTTTCAAATAAATGAATGAATCTTTAAAAAAAAATATGAAGAGCAGTGACAAAGGTGACATATTTGTTTCTGAGTGTGAGGCTTTCATAGCCGAACATCATTGGCCTTGGTAGGTGAGCCAGACAAAGGGAAGTGATGGTCAGAGAGTAGGACTCAGAGATTATGAAGAAGTTGTGGGTCATAATCAGGTCTCTCTATGGCTGACAAGATTATTGTAGGACAGGTGTTGGAGTAATTCTGTTTATTTTTCTAAGTGCCAGGATTTAAGACAGAAGTATTTTTTTTTTTAAGATTTATTTATTTATTTGAAGGATGGAGTTACAGAAAGAGGGAGGTAGAGGCAGCAAGAAGTCTTCCACCTGCTGGTTCACTCCCTGTGGGGAGCAGCCCGGACTGGACTGAGTTACTGGAATTAAGACTTATTCTATGCATCTGCTCTCCCACAATATGGCGCTGGGAGAGGAGAAAACAGCTTCTACGCAGCTGCCTCCAGTTCAACCAATAAACTGTAGGACCTACTCCTGATTGGAGGAGAGCAGCGTACTCGGCGTGTGGGCAGCCGAGTTAGGATTGGCGGAGGAGGACTATAAAGGAGGAGAGAGACGGCATTCACCAGGAACATCTAAGGGGAACACCTGTGCTGCCCCCGAGAGAGCCGGCCGGCGGTGTGCCGCTCCCCTGCGGAAGTGGGGAATGTGGCCAGGGGGAACTGCCCTTCCACGGAGGTGGAAGGGACAGTAGCCAACCCGGGAAGAACCAGCAGCAAACCCGGGGAGGGCCGAGCAGATGAAAGAACAGCGCAGGGTCCTGTGTCGTTCCTCCACGAAGACGGGGAGCGACATAATGGTGCCGTGACTCAGATATGAAGCCTAGGCAGGGTTTAGTGTCATTCCTCCATGAAGAGGGGGAGCGACAACTCCCCAAATGGCTGCAACGGGGGCTGGATCAGGAGTGGAGCAGCCAGGACTCGAACTAGTGCCCATATGGGATGCTGGCACTACAGAGACTTAGCCCACTACACCACAGCGCTGGCCTTGACAGTGGAAATATTAAAGTGATCTATCCACAATATAGTCTTAGAGAGGGGCAGAAATTTGGTGCAGAGGTTAATACTTCACGTGGGATGCCTGGTTTGAGTCCTGGCTTTGCTTCAGATTCCATCATTCTTGCTAATGCACACTATGATGGGCAGCAGGTGACAGCCATGTGGCAGATCTGACTTTGGCCTGACCCATCCCCAAGTAATGTGGATATCTGGGGAGTGAACCAGGAGATGGAAGCGCATGCCTTCTCTCTCTCTCTTTCAAATAAAATAAGATGAAATAAAATGAGAATAATAAATAAAAGCAATCATCCTGTGAAATAATATTTTTTTAAAAAGTGATGGAAAATGAAAATAGAGCCTGGGTGCGACCGAGCAAGTGGTAGCAAAAACAAGGTGAAGTATGTGAAGTCATCTGATGGTCTGAGATTCATTTTAAGAGAAAGAATGGGCTGGAGGCTGTAAAGAATCGCCCTCTTATAAAGTATGAAGTCCAGCTGGAGACCTTCTGTTTTGCCTCCTGTCTTCCTCTCAGAGGACTGAAGTTGGGGATGAAGAAAAGCTGGTGCTTGTGTTGCAGACACTGATGAAGAAGTTGGTAAATGAAGCAGCCCTGGAAGCAGCCCTGTGCTTGGGTTTCCTGAGGCCCTGCAGTGACATGGCCCAAGAGTTCTTGCTGCAGTGCCTATGCCAAGGGCCCAAGACCCAGCGGATGAAGGTGTGAAAGACAGGAGGCTGGGCTCTCAGGAAGCACTGGGAAAACAGGCCAGTGGGGTCAGGACCTTGTCATTGTCATGCCAGAGTGTAGAGCATGGTAGGGCCTTTTCTGTGTTAAGTATGTACATGCATGAACACGGGGTCACACAGACATGTTAAGTGTGCCTGTCTCTGTGTGTATCTGGTTATTATGGGTGTACATGTGTGCATGCACTTGTGTTCTCACTCAAGAGGCAGGACCAAGAACCTGACTTGGTTGCCAAGAGTTCTAGGCCCAGTCCTCAAGTCCACCCAGCCCTCCCAATGCCTCCATGCACACCCTGTACACCTGCTTCACCTTGTCCTGTACAGGCACTTAGGATGCTGGTCAAGATGATGCACGTTCACTCAGCTGCAGTCATCATGTCCATCCTAGAGCAACTGTGTTCTTCCGCTGTCCTTGACGTAAGCTCTGGGCTACTTCGTACCCTTCCCTCCACAGCACCATGACAGGGCTGAGGGACGGGGAAGGGAGTCTATCTCTCATGCCTCTCCAACCCCTGCCCTCAGGACCGCTATGAAGCCACCCAGATGCTCAGGACCATTGGGCTGGAACAGATCCAGGCACAGGGGCTAGAGGAACTCACATTCGACCTTCTCAGGAGGAAGACGCATAACGAACCCTTCCTTGTGAGACAAATACTCCAGAGCCCATGCAGCCCAAACGTGTCTCCTCTCCTCTGGAGATCTGCCCTGGCCCGGCTTCCAACTTAGCATACTTAAAGCACCACATTCACCTTACTCTACTCCTTATTCCGCTAGTGAGCCCATCTGTAAGCCACTGTGCCTCTGCTTGGGCAATTTTCTCAGCTAAAAATGTACCCCCCCCCCTTCTGTAAGGTAAAAACTTGCTTCACACTATTCACTCCCACTGATAAGTAACCACTCAAAATACTATTGCCCTGGCCGGCGCCGCGGCTCACTAGGCTAATCCTCCACCTGCAGCACCGGCACCCCAGGTTCTAGTCCCGGTTGGGGTGCCAGATTCTGTCCCAGTTGCTCCTCTTCCAGTCCAGCTCTCTACTGTGGCCCGGGAAGGCAGTGCAGGATGGCCCAAGTGCGTGGGCTCTGCACCCGCATGGGAGACCAGGAGGAAGCACCTGGCTCCTGGCTTCGGATCAGCGCAGCACGCTGGCCATAGCAGCCATTTGGGGGGTGAACCAATGGAAGGAAGACCTTTCTGTCTGTCTCTCTCACTGTCTAACTCTGCCTGTCAAAAAAATTAAAAAAAAAAAAATACCATTGCTCCTTCAAGACATGCTCAAATAACAGCTCCTGAGTTTTCCCCAATCAACAATCAGAATCTACTTTGCCTTCTGTGTTCCCCTGCCTTTAATCTTTACTATAGGCACAGCAGGTTAAGCCACCTCTTGGGATGCCCCCATCACATATGGGAGTGCTAGTCTGGGTCCTGGCTTCTCTGCTTCCAATCCAGCTTCCTGCTAATGTGCCTAGGAGGCAGCAGATGATGGTCCAAGTACTTGAATTCCTGCCTTCTGGCTCTTGGCTTCACCTCATGACAAAACCAGGCACAGAACGATTTCTCATAACGTAAATCAGACGTGTCTCGCCTCAGCCTAACATTTGCAGGGACTCCCAGTGCCCTCACAATGGCCTCCATTGTTTCATAACTGATAACCCCTAATTACCCCTGTAGTTTTATATCTCACCAGTCTCCCCTCTGGAGCCACAATGGCTATGCTTAGGACAACCATTTCTCTGAAGAGACCCAGTTTGATCAGCTCATTAAACTAAACTTACTCCAGCTCCCCGTCCTCTCTATACTGCCTCCTGCCTCCAGGCTTCGGTCCATGTTTCTCCTCTGCCTAGTTAACTCCCATTCGCCGTTCAGGTTTCAGCTCAGGCAGCACCTCCTCCTGCAGCCAAGACTGAGCTAAGAGGGTCTCTGATTTGCACCCTAAGCAGTACTGGAATTGCCCACTTATTTGAGCTCCTCCAGGCTCTGTAGCACAATGTCAGTGTTCAGTAAAGGTCTGTGAAGCACTTGGGTATACACCCCTATATTCTGTTTTCCTGCTGTGATCCCTCTGCAGGCTATGAGGCAGGCTGTGGTGGAAACTGTGGAAGAGCTCAGGATGAAGCCCGTGATGATGAACACAGTGGAGGAGTGAGTGGTCTGGGCTGGGAGCTGCCAGGGCCGAAGCCTAGGCCATGGAAAGGGAGCAGAGGGTCGGCAGAGAAACTTGCCCTTGCCACTGGCCAAGTCACTCTTTGAGCTGTAGGCGTTTGTTCCTCTGTAAAAAGAAGCTAATACTGCCCACTTCTACTTGCTGTAGAGCTCAAATTAATATGTTATGAAAGGAACTTTTCAAAGGTAAGTCCTGGATAGATTGGAGTTGTAACCACCATTCAGTGCCTCCTGACTAATAACTGCTTTTCTCCCTCCCAGTCCCTTTCCTAACCCAAGAAATAAGAAAGAGATGAATGAAATTAGCATCAGCCATCAGCATTCTGTGGTGGGCCTGAAGCAAGCAGCCTCCTCCTCACTCCCCATCCCTTTAACCAGACAATATGCTCATTCCCTTCTACACAGGCAACTGATGGACCCTAACGCGACTACACGCCAGGAGGCAATTACTTCTTTGGTAAGGTGGCCTCTGCTTCCCTGACCCTATTCCGACACGTGGAAATTGCAAGAGCAGGCGACTGAGCAGTTTTTGAGGGGGAAGAAAGGGCTGAAAAGTTTGGAGAGGTAGTTCATTTTAGAATTCTAGCCCACCCAGAGTCCAGGGTAACCTTTCCTTTCAGGATTGGGGTGGGTGGAATAAGGGAGACAAACAAGTGTGAGGGGCACTGCTTAGATCTTACAGAAATCATCTTTACTCTTCCTAATCAATTATGGGCATTGGAACTACACACCTGGCCTCAAGCAGCCAGGAAAGGGATGCCTCAGCTGGACAATCCTATTTTCCAGGTCATCACAAAAGGGTGAGAAAGAGAAAGAAGATGGGATGTCTTCCTGGGCTGACAACTCAAGCAATCTCTGCTTACCTCTGCCAGGGAGTCCTGGGGTTCCGCAGCCCACAAGTGTTTCATCTGCTTCTGGACATGCTGGACACAGAAGAGAACCAGGCTGTGAAGAAAAGTGTAAGGCATTCTGGCCACCCCTTCCTCTTCTCTACCCTTCTTCCAAGTCCCTCTCGCCACTTCATCATTTGTTCCTTGTCAGAGGAGGGGAATGAATCCTTGGACACTGCCCTAGCCATAGTGGCCTGTGGCAAAGGCATCCTCTCCCTTGGGTGTCCCCTCCCCTCCCAGTCTGAGCTAAAAGTAAGCTAGCCCCAAGGCTTTTGTTTAAATGCAGCTACAAGAAACACTAGTCCTTTGGTCTTCAACTGATCCCTGGATCCAGAGCAAGCTGAAGAACAAGATTTTCTTAGCATATGAGGCACCTAAGACCAATGTGGAGGCAGCGTTCACAAGGTTCCGCAAGAAGCCCGAGACCCCAGAACAGCTAACTATCCAAGACTTCCGCCTTGCTAGGCTAAGTCCCTTGTTGATTGCAAAGGCCAGCACCAAGATGGACCAAAAGAAAAGGTTGCCTGCCTTCCTGCCCTGTCTCCCACAGGACATGGGCCACAGCCCATAGAGCCCTGACAACCAAAGATGAGGAAACAGCTCCGGAGTCTTTCTGGGACCTCCAAATAGGTCAACTCACTCGGCCTGGTCCCCACGCTCTCCCCAAGGATGCTTCTCAAGCTCCCCCGAGAAAATCCATACTTACCTTCCATGAATAAATGAGTATCACTACACCTCTCTGGATCACTGCTACAGTGCTGTTTGCTGCCTCTGAGGCAGCCCTGGGACACAGGTCTCCTCACAGCTGGTTGAGTGTTACTTCCCCGGAGCCACAAGTCCTTCCTCCTCAGGAAAGACAGGCGGGCTGGATGGCCAGTCTGCCTCCCTAAATAATGTCTGTGCCCAGTATTTGATGACATAGCTATAGAGCTGCGCCTCTGCTGAGAGGGGGTGGCTCAGAGACAACTGGCAGAAACTGCTGGAAAGCTTGGGCCATTTTCTCTTACTGACTGTCCCCTCACCCTCCCACATCAGTAGTCAGTGGACAATTCAGCTTCAGTCTGAGCCAGTCCTCCTCCCCACTGCCTGCTGTCTACCTCAGGGTTGTTCCCTTTGAGAGACAATTACTCTAAAATGGGCTTAGTTCTCCCTTATTTCTGCAGAGCTTTGCTTCTTACCAATAGGACCGCCCACAACAATCTCAACAGCCTACAACCTCCATTAAGAAAGAAAAAAACAAACATGGGAGTCAACACAAAGCTGAAATCTAGGATTAATCCTAAAGTCCATCACTTCTGTGGTTTTTCACTTTGGACAAGTTACTTAACCTTTTTGATTCTGTTTCTTCCCCTACAAAATGAAGAGGATGATGCCCGTGACATCAGTGTTCCTGTGAGGATTATAAAGCCTAACAGTGCATGGTATTACACAGTAAACACTCACATACGAACTCTGCTCTCCTTTCCTGTCTTCAGTGGTATCATGAGCCTGTGACACCACCCTCACTGACTCCCCCACCCTACTGAAGTGACTGAATGGGAGGTCAAGTTCTTCCCATCAAGCAAAGGCCAAGCAGATGCTCCCTTTACTCAACCACACCCCAAGCTCCAGAGCACACATTCTGAATCCAGCGGTTGCGTGCCATGCAGATTTATCTCCCAACCTGCCCTACCACTTCTTGATTCATGTTTTGCCTCAGAGTTTTACATAAAAAATAAAAGGGTGGTTTTGTTATTATAGAGTATAAGCACCATTGCCAAAGGAACCCTCTAGAAGTGTGGTACAAAAGTCCAGAAATAGGAACAATGTTCTTCCTCTCTTGCCTGTTTTGTAGCCTTGAGCCCAACAGCAACATAACTCAAATTCCCCTGGTCTCAAGAGCTGGAGGTAAAAACATGGCCTTACTAACTACATTAATTCAGGCTCTCAACTTCTGCAAAATCCTGTTCATGGCTCCCCAACCCTTCCTCTATTTTCTAGGTGTCCTCAGATCTTATTCTTTAGCCAGATACAAGCAGACTCAAGACTGCAGTGAGCACAGAGGTCCTCACAGAACACCCACCATCTGGTACATCACCAGAATTCCAGAACCTTCCCAGTACCAAAGGTCACAAGACTAAAAACTCAGATGCATACCTCATCCAAGGAGTGGCCAACTTCTCTCAAGAGAAGATGCCCTCCTATCTCAACCATCAGGATCTACCGAAACTGATTCTTAGATGCCATCCAAAACATTAGCCCCTCTTCTCTCCCCTCTGCCCCAAACCTTTCTAATGGAATCTCTGGATGCTCCTTCCAAAGGCAAACAAAAGCATCTCTGTCCTCTACTTCTTCCCTTACTGTTCTCCTCTCGGCTGTAACTGAACTCTGACTCGCATTCCTGAAATCTCTCAGATGTTGCTCATTCTCCTAGATTCCCTCCAGCAGTCACCACTGTCCTGAACTTTTATATAAAAAATCAGTGTTTCTTCTGATGGCCCTGCTCTCCAACCAGCTCTGCAACCCTCCGGTCCTCTTCTCTATTTCCTCGCATAAATTGCCTGGACCTTAGTCTCGTCACCTCCATGAGGGCATCCCTTTGGACAGTCACCGGACACCCCAGGCCCTCCACCCTTGATCTCAACTAAAGACTTCTCCTTTCCCTTCACTTCAAGCTGCCCACTCCCAGGGCCACATCTAACCCATCACCCTCGGAAATTGCTCCATCTCCAAAATCTTAAACATCCCACCTTCTGATTCAAACCTTCTGTCTAGCTCTTATCCCCACAGCAAGTTCTTTGAATCTTATCAATAGTAAAACTCTTGACTTTCCCACAATCTCCCTTTTACTCTTTTACTTGTTTTCTTCCTACTCAGCCTGGACCCCATCCATCAACCATATCCTCACTGTTCTCTCACCTCCAGGCATCACCTCTGATCTATTAAACCCCTACCCTAAATTGCCTGTTCCTACAACCGCATTGCTGATCAAAGCTGGAGAATAACCACACTATCTATACAAACTGGTATCCCCAAATACCTGCCTCTTACCTTATCTGAGCCCTTATTGTTGCCTGGCAATGTTACAGGTCCCTAGCCTCAATCTCCCCTATTCCTCTAATGGTTATTTCAGGCCTTCTCTTCTATCTTCATATCCTCTACAGTTTCTTAAAACTCTACCCTATTGGCCGGCGCCGCGGCTCAATAGGCTAATCCTCCACCTAGTGGCGCCGGCACACCAGGTTCTAGTCCCGGTCGGGGCACCAGATTCTGTCCTGGTTGCCCCTCTTCCAGGCCAGCTCTCTGCTATGGCCTGGGAGTGCAGTGGAGGATGGCCCAAGTGCTTGGGTCCTGCACCCCATGGGAGACCAGGAGAAGCACCTGGCTCCTGCCTTCGGGTCAGCGCAGTGCGCCGGCCGCAGCATGCCAGCTGCGGCGGCCATTGGAGGGTGAACCAACGGCAAAGGAAGACCCCTCTCTCTCTCACTGTCCACTCTGCCTGTCAAAAAAAAAAAAAAAAAAAAAACCTCTACCCTATTACATCCTCCAATTTTCAGTAGATCAGGATACATTCATATGGGGTAGGGGGAGGGGGGGAAAGGCATCAGATGGAATTCCCTCAACTTTCTGCCACTTCAGCTATAAACATCCTTGTTTAAAGCAGTTAAAAGAGCACAGCTGTAAGGCCAGAGGTCTGGGTTAAAATTCTGGCTCTGCTACATACTAGAAATGTGATGTTGGGCAAGTGGCTTAACCTCTCAGTGCCTCTGGTCCTCACTGTACCCTCAGGAAAGCCCCTGCAATGACAAAACATTTACACCAACCACCTCCCCCCATGAAATGTGCCCTAAACCTCCTGGTTTCAGGATTGTTCTGAGTTAAATGAGTTAATACAGAGTGCTTCCAACAGCACACAGCACATAGTAAGTCCCCAGTAAATGCTAGTCATTCATTACTGTTATCAGCAACTTCATCTATCCTTACCTGCAACTGCATGGCAAGAAACTTTTTATTATGACAGAGTTAGACAGTGAGAGACAGAGAGAAAGGTCTTCCTTCCTTTGGTTCACCCCCCAAATGGCTGCCACGGCCGGAACTGTGCTGATCCGAAGCTGGGAGCCAGGTGTTTCCTCCCGGTCTCCCATGCAGGTACAGCGGCCCAAGCACTTGAGCCATCCTGCACTGCCTTCCTCGGCCACAGCAGAGAGCTGGACTGGAAGAGGAGCAACGAGGACTAGAACCCGGTGTCCATGTGGGATGCCAGCACCACAGGCGGAGGATTCACCATTCTTCTAACGCAAATGCTCCCATTCCTTCAAGGAATGCAAACATCAACTATTCCCATTTCATTGAAAGCAGTGGGTAAACAATTTTAAACCTACTTCAAAAATAACCTCCCATAAATCTCTTATCACATCTCTAACCAACCCTCATAATCAAGATTCTTAAAACAGTTGTCTACATTACCTGTTTCCATTTCTCCAATTTCCATTATTCATTATCCCAGTTCAATTTGAGGTCAGAATTAAATTCTCTACTAAAACTGCTTTTTCTAAGATGGTGTTCTCCACAAAGGGCAGTATGTTCTCCACGGGACATCTGGGAATGTCTGGAGACACTCTTGGTTGTCACAACTTGAAAGCAAGGTTTGCAACTGCATTTAATGATGAGAGCCCAGGGACGCTGCTAAGCACCCTGTAATGCACAGGGCAGCAGCTCCAAAAAAAGTATCCAACCCAAAATGTCTGTAGTACCAAGGCTGAGAAACTCTGCTCTAAAATGACTACAAGGGCTGGCACTGTGGCATAACGGGTAAAGCTACCACTTGCAGTGCTGGAATCCCATATGGGTGCTGGTTCAGTCCGGGCTGCTCCACTTCCAATGCAGCTCTCTGCGATGGACTGGGAAAGCAATGCAAGATGGCTCAAGTGCCTGGGCTCCTGCACCCGCATGGCAGACCCAGAGGAAGCTTCTGGCTCCTGGCTTCGGATTGGCACAGCTCTGGCCATTGCGGCCATTTGGGGAGTGAACCAGCAGATGGAAGACCTCTCCCTACCTCTACCTCTGTAACTCTGCCTTTCAAATAAAATAAATCTTTTTAAAAATGATTTACAATTTCCTTATTGCTAAATGTGATGACTGCTTGCTATCCTTTACATGACTTGCCCTGGCTTGCAAGCTTGAGACCATTAGCTTCCCATTCTTGGAATTCCCTCTTCCCTTGGATTCCACTGGCCACATATCGCCAGTCTGTTTCAGGATCCTCTTTTGTTCATCTCAGGTTCTATACCAGGCTCTTCTCTCTCCACTTAATGTCTCCCAAAGTAGCATCACCTGGGGCTCCTGTTTTTAAATTGCCCAGGCCTCCTTCACAGATTTGTTTTGGAATGATTAGACGTCCTTCCTAATTCTGGTATACCGCTACGATGGAAAACTACTCATATCCCACATCATCACTTCTATTCCCATATGTTAATAACTCTCAAATCTCTAATAGATGCATTCAGAAAATATCCACCAAGTCCCTACTCTGTGCCTGACACTGTTCTAGACACTGGAATAAAACAGCCAACAGTTAACATTCCCTATTCTCCTAAAGCTTACATTCCAATGAGGGAAATTAAAAACCACACACACACAAAAACAGTGGTAAGTACTGTCAAGCCATCACGTGAAGACATCACAAGAAGTGACTTGAAAACAAAAGAAGATATAAAGTTAATTCAGACTAGGCAGCTAGGGAAAACCTGGGGAGAACAAAGGGT